AAGTGGGAGGTGTTGAAGCAGAATGCCTTCGATCACCACACTATGACCATGAGTGTGGTGATACAGAATATGGAGAGTGGGGAGGCCTACGTCTTCTGCAAGGGCTCCCATGAGGCTGTCCTGTCGAGGTAAGGGTACCAAGGGGTCTTTGAGCCTCTGGTTGGAGGCGGTAGCGCTTTGATCGCAGTGCTGGACGGGGCGAGTGTAGGTGCAACTTCCATCGTGGGGAGGAGAGTGCAGGATCGGATACTCGTGAGGTCTTCGAAGGCCTCGTGGTCTCGGCGGCCGAGCAGTACGCTGCTGAAGGGTGCTATGTGCTGGCTATTGCTGCTCGGAAGCTTAGTGGGGGGTCGAAAGGTGAGTCGGTTGTGGTATGGATGGAATAATTCTCTGTATGTATAATCAGATCGATCGGCCTCTCGTCAAGAGCTGGAGTCGGGCCTGTCTTTGTTGGGACTGCTGTTGTTCCGCAATGAGCTTAAGCCGGACTCCAAACGCCATATTGAGTGCCTCAAGGCTGGTGGTATCGATAGTGTCATGATTACTGGTGACTCGGTCCTCACTGGTGCGACGGTGGGCCGGAAAGTCGGTATCATACCGCGGGCTGACAGGTGAGTTCGTCGGGGCATCATCGAGGTCTTGTCGCGTTGTGGCTATGGTGTTCCCTTTAGAGTTGTGATTGGTGGGGCCTCCGCTGAAGGGACGGATATCGAGTGGCGTGACATGGACTCCCATGAGATAGTCCCAGAGACCGCTGTGTGCGGCCCAGGGACTCGGCCGACGTCGCTCTGTGTGACGGGGGCATGCTTCGCGGCATTGCTGCGTTCGGGGAAGCTCGCCCCTTTGATGGGCTGCCGAGGGGAATGTGAGAACAGTTTGCTTTCTCCGGGGGCTCGGAGGTGGGTGGGTGGCAGTTGGGCCTGGGTCTATCAGGATCATCTCTTAGACCTGGCCTGGTGGACTGTAGTTGTGCCCGTATACGGGTATTTGGTCGTATGACACCTCATCAAAAGGTGTCGGTTATTACAGCGTATTCCCGTCCACCTCTGAATCTAATAACTGGTATGTGTGGTGATGGTGGTAATGATAGTGGAGCCCTCAGGGCCGCAGCTGCCGGTAATAATAACCTCACCATGGTCAGCCGTATAAAGCATGTAGGTCTGGCTCTGAGTGGTAGAGTCGAGGCGAGTGTAGCTGCACCATTCAGTACGGATAGCCCCAGTATTGGCTCATTGGTACTACTACTCAGAGAGGGTAATAATGAGCCCATCTGCCCCTTCCGAGTAACTAGTCGAGCACGTTGTCTTTGTGCCAGCCCGAGGGTCCCTCTGCACTTCATTCGCCTCCTATCGGTTCCTGGTCGTGAGGGGCATACTCGGTGCTTTGGGCAAGGTACTATTGTCGATGCTGTGCTCAGAGTCGCCTACCACTCCTTTTTCAGATCGTCCTTTTATCTATGGTGGGAGCATACTTGGCTCCACTCGGCTACCTCTTCCACGACCTCATTATGACCCCTCTCTTCTTATGGGCTATCTCAATGGTTAGTCGTGTTCCTGTCTCTCGCTCGAAGGGAGCTTGCCTCGTCAGGCTCGGCCGGCTCGAACTCTGGCAGCAGTTGCCCCTGAGGGCAGTCTTCTAGGCCCTGGTATGGTCACAGCATCTGTTCTCACCGTGAGACTGGGACTTCGGTGTTTTTGATGATCTTGGATATCTACTCCTTGAGGTACTCCTGTTGACTCTGGTCCTCCTCACGGCCTTGGGCATACTATATCTGCAAGATGGCGAGTCGTGGTTTGTAAGTGTGGGGAGTTGCATGTGGTCGTTGCCAATGTGTTGGTAGATCCGCTTCAACGATGAGTCAAGTGACATTCACGAGTGGCAGAAGCGATCTGATAACTTTGAAGCGGCCTTGACTTGGGTGTGGATGTCCTGGGCTACCATCGATGTTGCTGTGTGCTACTCCTATGGTCACGTGTACCGTCGGGCTGTGTACGTAGCCCTGGGTCTAGGCTGTGCCCACTTGCCCACTTCCAGGTATCGTAATCTGGCGTTGATGGTTACTGTCATTGCCCTTGGTGTGCCCGTACTGGTCCTGTTG